TTTGTAGGGTTAAGTCTCATTGGCAACTAGTAACTGACTTATAAATCTTGACAAAATTTAAGTTTCTTTGAGTAGATAACCTTTAAAATTATTCCTTACAAATTTTTTACAAATTAACATATCTGTCTCCCTTGAGTAGTACAAATACATACTCATACAAAATCAGTCACAAGTACATTTTTTCACATTGGCTTTTTTAAGAGACAATGAATAAAAATAAGTAAATTAATATTATTTTTAAAAGTATCAATCTTTGTTTCTTGCTTAATAAAGGGGAAATACTGAAAATGATGCACACATTCCTATTATTCCTTCCACTCTCCTAGTAACCTCAACTACTACATCCTAATCTGAAACTTCAGGATATTCTGACCAGAGGCCATTGGATGAGTCATGGTGACACTAATAATGTATGATTCAGCAGGCTGTTGGAATGTAGATAGAGCATTTTAAAGGGAAGCTACAGGGAACAAAGTAAACAGTCTGTTTGGCTAAATTTTACAGTTAGCTTTATGTACCCAAGGGAAAATGTATTCCATTCCCAGCCTCTTTACTTCCTCCCTCTTCCCCTACCAAAAAAGAATAAAGTGCAAATAAGCTTAATGGCAGGAAATACCACAAATGCATTTTTAAAGCAGCTAAGCCTTCTAGCTTCTGGGGGCCTGAACTTACCTTATTTGTATGACTTATTAAAGTTTAATACAACTCTCATCTTGTTGCTTGAAACGCTATGCAGTGGGAGGATTTCTCCTTGCAGGAGTGGCTATATTTTACTGAATGAAACCAGGGAGTTGGACAACCACCGAAAGTTTATTGACGAGGAAAGCAGAGTTCAGAAGGGGAACTATTCTAAGAAACAGTGCCCTTAATTTTGTCCAGAAAATACTACTATGAGCCAAATTTAGATCTAATATAAGCAGGTGCAATTGCCCTTGAAGTTAATGGAGTTGCACCAGTTTTCATGAGGTCTGATTTTGGCCCCATGTTCCCATACAACTCTTGAGGCTGCAGAATGAGGAAATAATTAAAATGCAAAACATAGAAAAATATATAGAAAAAATATTTATTGGAGCTAAAAAGATCGTTGAATATTTTGAATCAAGGAAGAGCCAGTCTGGAATAGGGATGTAGGCAACTAGTTGACTACCCAATAAGCATATGCTTATCGGATAGTCGAATAGTGACTTGACTTGTTGCTCCCCCCCCTCCCTGCTGCCTCTGTCAAAGAGAGGCAGCAAGGGGGAAGAGCTGGTGCTGAGGGGAGCTGCCTTAAAAGATGGTTTCCCACAGCACTGTCTCTGTGGGAGGGCAGGGGAAGCAGAGGTGTAGCAGGGGGACTGGGTGCGATCCAGGAATCAGCTGATTGTTGGTGGCTCTTAATACATTTAAAAGGCAGAGCTGCAGTGGCGTTAACGCCTGGGGCTGGGAGCTAATCCCACTGCGGCTCTGCAATTTTCCCCTTTATTGAGTAATCAATGGAAATTCCATCGACTACTTGATTAGCTGATTAAACATCCCGAGTCTGTAGGTAGTATGCTGTGCAGCTTTGACCATCTGATTTTTTCTTGTATGACTCCCATAAGTGCTGGAACTGCAGGTGCTGCAGCACCTCCTGGCTTGAAGTGATTTCCGTTACATTAAAAGATTTATAGTTTGGTTCAGTGGCTCTCAGCATCCCCACTATGCAAATTGGTCCAGCGCATCTGATGACTCCATTAAGTGTCTTGGTCACTGACCTTTTTATTCAGTCTTTTACATCTTAATTTGGTATTTGAGAATCTCCTTTCGGGAGATCATCTTCTTTCTGAGATTTTATTTAGGTCCAGATACCTATTTGCAACTTAAGTTTCAGAGGGGTAGCCGTGATAGTCTATAACTTTAAAAAAGTTCTGTGGCACTTTAGAGACTAATATATATGTGTGTGTGTGTGTGTGTGTGTGTGTGGCGGGGGGGGGGGGGGG